TGCCCTTGGGAAAAGCTCCTCTCTGACAGATATAGAGATATATTAATCACTGAAGGATTTGAGTAGCAAGGGACCTCAAAGACCATCTTGCTTCACACCCCGCCATGAGCACGGACACCTTCCACTAGACCAGTTTGCTCAAGGTTTATGCAACCTGGCCTTGAACATTTCCAGGGATGGGGCATTGCAATTTCTTTCAGAGAACACAACACAGCGATAATAATCAGATCCTTGAAAGGCTGAACCTGGAAAACCATGAATAAATCAGCCTGTGCTCAGCATCATATTGAATATAAAGCAGCACAAACAGAATTTACATTATCTGCCATGAAAATGAATCCAACAGGCACAATCAGAATGATAAAGGATTACGCAAAACTTTCTTTAAACTACAATCCAGAACCTCTGAGCAACTCGACTCTGGCCAAGATCAGTTTGTTTCACAGCACATCGCTTCCAGTTTTTCCATGAGGTTTCAAAACATTTTGCAATCATCACTACTCCAAAGCAAATAAACTCCTACTCAGCTCAGCTGCCCAATGACACTTCTTACTCAGGGAAAGGCAAACCTCTGCTTTGTGCTGAAAAAACTTCTATTTTCTGTGAGCTGCATTTGTGAAATCAGTACTATAAAATCATTGAATCATAAAATGGTTTGGCTGGAAGGGACCTTAAAGACCATCTAGTTCGAACCCCCTGCCGTGGCCAGGGACACCTTCCACTACACCAGGTTGCTCCAAGCCCCATCCAACCTAGCATGGAACACTTCCAGGGAACAGAACTGAAAAAACTTCTATTTTCTGTGAGCTGCATTTGTGAAATCAGTACTATAAAATCATTGAATCATAAAATGGTTTGGCTGGAAGGGACCTTAAAGACCATCTAGTTCGAACCCCCTGCCGTGGCCAGGGACACCTTCCACTACACCAGGTTGCTCCAAGCCCCATCCAACCTAGCATGGAACACTTCCAGGGAACAGAACATCTTTGAGGTCTCTTCCAACCAGGTTGATTCTATGATTCTATAACAGCCTGCGCCATTCTATTTTCTGTGAGCTGCATTTGTGAAATCAGTACTATAAAATCATTGAATCATAAAATGGTTTGGCTGGAAGGGACCTTAAAGACCATCTAGTTCGAACCCCCTGCCGTGGCCAGGGACACCTTCCACTACACCAGGTTGCTCCAAGCCCCATCCAACCTAGCATGGAACACTTCCAGGGAACAGAACATCTTTGAGGTCTCTTCCAACCAGGTTGATTCTATGATTCTATAACTGGGCAGCCTGCGCCAGTGCCTCACCACCCTCACCGGGAAGAATTCCTTCCCAATATCCCATCTATCCCTGCCCTCTGGCAGTTGGAAGCCATTCCCCCTTGTCCTGGCACTCCAGGCCCTTGTCCAAAGTCCCTCTGCAGATCTTTTGGAGAGCCTCTTTATGTGCTGCAATACACTACAAGGTCTCCCTGAAGCCTTCTCTTCTCCAGGATGGACAGTTCTCCCAGTCTGGCTCCAGAGCAGAGGTGCTCCAGCCCTCGGAGCATCTCTGGACTTGCTCCAGCAGCTCCACATGCTTCTGATGTTGGTGCCTCAGAGCACGAGTGCAGCAAGGTGGGATACAACTTCAGAGAAAGGATTGAGGGAACAGAGGATAAAAATAGGAGGGCAACCATACAACATATAAGGAAAGGTAGAATGAGGGAGGTTTGTCTACCCTGGAGGAGACATGGCTGGACAAGAGTGAATTCCAATCGCTGCCTCTGACTATCTCAGGAGTGATTACAGAGGAGACAGCACCAGAGGTTCACCAATGAAGGCTATGAGGCAACACAGGTTGCAACAAAGGAGATTCTGATCAGACATGAGTATTAGATTTATTTCTTTAACAGCAGGGTGGGCTGAGAAGGACCACTGACCCAGACAACCGACAAGATCTCTATCCTAAAGGGAAATTCACACCTTGACTGGGCCAAGTCTTGAGCAAAGGGCTCTGAAGCTCACCCTGCTTTGAGTGAGGGATCAGACCCTTCAACCCAACTAACTCCAAGAACCAAATCTGGGTGCTCAAGTGCCATATTGACCTGCAAGTCCCCAAAGGAAAGTGAGCTGCCCCTATTTGCTGAGGGCACAAGACCTCACATGGAGGCACCACAGAGCAGTGTCGCCACCACAACCATCCATCTGGCAGCTGATCACAACCACCAGGAGCTTCTGGGCCACAGCCAAATGTCTTGCACAAGAACAACTGTGTTTGAAAAGGAAAACATCCCCCACCAACCAGTGCAAAATGAAATTAAAGGTGCAGACGCAACTCTGGTCAATGTTTAACATGGAGTAAATTTAACAAGAAAACCAACAAAGTTCACAGATGCTGAGTGGAGTTTATCCCCTTCAGATTTCTTCATCTGTGATGATGAACACACTGGATTTGTTTCCTCCACGTTCTTTTACTGTATTGTTGAAGCAGCACCTTTACACAGTCTCCTCTTGCTTATAATCACAAATATAAGCCAGCAAAGATGTTTTTAACACAGTTTAATAGAAAAAAAAAAAGCTTAATGTACAGGACCAGAGAGCCCTGGGGGCTCTCAGACCACAAGGAGTTTAGTACACACACTGCAGACAGTTTCACTGTGTAAATGTTGGCATTATGCAAATATTTATTGCTGTTCAAAATTTATAAAACCAATTTAAAGTTTCCCCATAGTCCAGTGCTGAGGATTTCCAAGATCATCTTCTATTCAGGGTAAATATCAGCTTGTGAACAAATATAAAGGAGCAGCAGAAGGTCAAGAAAACAAGAGGAGAGCAGTGAAGGAAGTGAGGGAACTGCTGTAAAAAGTCAGGGAGCGAACAAAACTGAGTTCAGAGAGGCAAGAGAGGGAGGAATTTATACTGTTTATCAACAAACTCTGCAAGTTTACAGTGTCCAACTGTACAAAGCTCAATCTTGCAAGGGTGAAAAAATAATGAAGAAGGAAATACTGTTATGGTTAATAATAAAATGTAATATAACCCAAGAAAACGGATAAAATATGAATGAATTCTAGTGCGCGTAGTTTTGGACCAGAGAAAGGTATTTTTCAACAGATGCTTTCTGGCACTTGATGAAAATGAGAAGCATCTGCCATTTCCTGAACTTAGATTACTGAACAGCACAGCTCACTGCTAATGAAGATGAAATTCAAATGTCATCTGAAGAAGCAATTAAAAAAAAAATTGAATTCTTTTTCCCTACCTCAAAAATGTTATTGTATTAAGCTCACGCTTGCCTTGTCCTCAGGCCCAGACTTCCTAGTGATTTACAGATGATTTTCCAGCCTGAACCATAATTGTTAATGCTGTGAACTACTTAAAACCTCAATTTAAAAAGCCCATTAATTTTTGGAGAACACACAAGAAACTACAGGCACAAATCATCATCATTTCACCTTTTCACCAGTGTATTAAAAATTAGCTCGATTAGAGCAAAATGACTATGAGTCAAGATGACATTTCCTCCTCTTCCTGCATATCAATCAGTGCATGATACCAGAAGAGCACTTCCAGGTGGCACTTCCAGGTTTTTGGAGGTTTTTAGAAGAGAGTACGTTGTTTCTTCTTCAAATGAGATGAGAATAACATAGCGATTCATGCCTGCATCCTGTTTTGACCTCAGGTTAGTCTCAAGCTTTACAGAAAACATTTTATTCACTACAAACAACTCTGTGTTGGCAGTTGAAGACCAAAAAAACCACATGTGGTGGTTTTAATTTTTTAGCAACTTTTAGTTCCTCTGCTGATCTTCTCTCATAGAGATTTTCTAGAACAAACACAAAGTATTTTTAGCTCCTCATTTCACAAATGAGAGGAAGCCCAGCAGAAGGTTAATTCTGGAAACAGTCACGCAGCCACTTGGAACAAGCAAGGCCCAAGGGGAACTAGTAGTTTTTCCAGCGATAACTTGGGATTATTTTTCTAATTTCAGCTACAAGATCAGAAAGCATAAGGTGGTGCTTGTTTCTGGGAGCCTGAAGCACAGAAACGCACAAGTTACATTTAGGTCTCGGTGTGAAGTGTCTGTTGTTCACCAGCAGCTGCAGCCTGGTCTCTCAACACATGGATGAGCCAAATCCCTGTCACCCACTGGAAGAACAGATATTTTTACATGTGTCAAGAGCTGGAGAGGGACATTTGACAAGGGCATAGACTGACAGGACAAGGGGGAATGGCTACAAACTGACAGAGGGCAGGGTTAGATTACATGAGGAAGAAATTCTTCCCTGTGAGGGTGGTGAGGCACTGGCACAGGTTGCCCAGAGAAGCTGTGGCTCCCCCCTCTCTGCAAGTGTTCAAGGCCAGGTTGGATGGGGCTTGGAGCAACGTGTAGTGGAAGATGTCCTTGTCCACGGCAGGGGAGTGGAACCAGATGGTTTTTAAGGTCTCTCCAACCCAAACCAGACTGTGATTCTATATTTTCACAAGTTTGTCTGATCCATTGCTGTTGTTTCTGAACAAGTTCCAAAGGGTTTAAAAATTGAAATGTTAAGGGATGTAAAAATAGACATAATTCTTTGAGACCTATGTGTCTGCAACATTAATTGGCTTTTGCCTTCTGTCAGCATTGACATACTACAAGTTGACTCCTAAGCCATGCTCAAACCTGATAAATAAGACAGTTCTTTCCTTTGGAAGGAGCCTGAATACCAAATCATCTCCAGCTCAGGCAGATGACAATAATTTTTTTGTCTCTCAGATAATCAGGATTTGGAAATGAAAACATAATACTTGCATGCCACAGCGCAGTAACATGAGTTGCTCATTGTAAAAGCAACAACAACTCTGTAATTGTTTCTGCTGATGATGAGTGCACAAGAGGACACTGTCTCTATGCTGCATTTGCAGTGCTATATATTTAGATTACTGGAACATATTTACGCTGTTTGGAGCCACATTTAAGTCAGGTTCTAAGTTAAAGAAATATCATTGGGTACAATTAGATTCTTACCAAGGGGAACTTACCTAAAAGCTGCCAGTAAGGGAGCATAGATTGAGTCTCCATCATACACATACAAGTGGTCCCAACTACACTCTGTGGCAAAGTGATTGAATCGAAGCCTCAGGATTGTGTTTGGCCTGGGAAAAAAAGATTAATTAATACAAGATTTGTAATTAGCCAATGGACACACATGGCAAAGTCCCTCCAACACACTCCTCTGGTGTGATGCTCTGCTCTAAACAAGACTGAAACTGAATTATGTGGTATAAGTGTATATGCATCAAACATGCTCTGGCTTTATTTTTCTGCTGTGCAGCTCCTCTAGTATTAAGCAACAGATTATTCATGGTCATAAAACAATGCTCTTAAGCCTTTTCTCACCATCAACAGCAGATAGCACAGGGCAGGCATAGCCAACCCTCTGCCCTTCCCTGGTGCTGACTCTCCTAGCGAAAGGGCTTTGCAAGGGTAAGCAAGGAAAATCTACATGAGCACACATGAAGAATCACAGTCACCATCAGGGAACTAACCAGTGGGGTTTTTTCCATGTTCAAGGGACTTTCTGCAGATTGATATGATTATGAAGGCCTGAGATGATGTACTTGCTCAGCAGCTGGCAGCAATCCTTCTTCTCTTCATTCTTTGTGCAAAACAGAGGGTCCTCCTGAGGGAAGTCCTTTCAAACTGCAGGTCCAAAGAGGTCCCAAGTCCCTCTGCAGCTCTCTTGGAGCCCCCTTAGGCACTGGAAGGGGCTCTAAGATCTCCCTGGAGCTTTCTCTTCTCCAGGCTGCACAGCCCTAGCTCTCCCAGCCTGGCTGCACAGCAGAGGTGCTCCAGCCCTCAGAGCATCCCTGGGGCCTCCCCTGGACTTCTTCCAGCAGCTTCACATCCTTCTGCTGTTGGTGCCCCAGAGCTGGAGGCAGCACTGCAGGTGAGGTCTCATCTGAGCAGGGCAGAGGGGCAGAATCCTCCCTCACCTGCTGCCCAAGCCGTGGGATGAGCCCAGCACACAGAGGGTTCTGGGTGCCAGTGCACATGGTCAGGGCTTGTTGAGCTTCTCACCATGCTAAGATACCATTTGTTTCATGGCCTATATGCAAAGACAGACCTAAATCACACAGTAGCCAAATAACTAATTTAGGGATCAGCTCCAGGAGGGTGCAAACACCACTAACACTGTGCCTGGACCTGAGATAAAATGAAAATGAATCCACATCAGCACTGCTTGTTCCAACCCACAGCTGTAGCTGTTGAAAGGAAAGATGCAAGTGATTAGGATCTGTCCAACAGCATTGCCCTTGGATTAGATGAAATCCCTGTTCATCCTAATGAAATGAATTAATAAAATGTCAGTTTGCCACAGTCCTTCCTTCCCACAGGAAAGGAATTCTTTAGGGACTTATCCTGCAAACAACTATTTTTTGATAGGCACAATGATCTACTCCAGGCCTCTGGAAAAAGAGCAGCAGGTGGAACTCAAAGATAAAGTCCTGCTTAAAGAAAAGGTACAAAGCGTACTCATGGTTTCAAAACTGAGCAGCCTATGGAGTCGTGGGGAGTTGCTGCTATTTGCACAGTCTGACAGTTGTAAGAGTAAGAAGAAAAGCTCAATCAATAAAGCTTCAGACCATGAAGAAAATAAAGAGTCTCTCCGCTACAGCTAACGACTCGTTAGCAGGCAGCTCTCATCTGCACAATGATCAGGCACATGGATACAGGTTCTGCCTTGGGATGCTCTGGCTTCATGGATCTCATCTGCTTTGCCTCACACTCCTGGGGAAAAATGAGAAGGACACCCCCAGGATGAGGACAGAGAACAGACACCAGCAAAGAAGAGCCAAGAATGGCACAGAAAGGAAAAGAGAACAGCAAGCAACACGTGGCTTATTTTATATCTGAACTTAGCTAGGATTGTACCTTTGGACTCACAGAACCACAGAATCAATCAGGTTGGAAACGACCTCTGAGATCATCGAGTCCAACCTATGACCTAATACCACCATGGCAACTAGACTAAGTACTAGTACTAAGTGCCACGTCCAGTCTCTCCTGAAACACCTCCTGGGATGGTGACTCCACCACCTTCCTGGGTAGCATATTCCAGTAACTAATCACCCTTTCTGGATAGAAATTCTTCCTAGATTGTACCTTCCCCTGCTAACCTCAAAGTCCTCTGCACACTGGAATGCTGGCAACAAGGTGAGGGCACTCAGCAAAACTGAACAGCTTTGCAGACACTGCTTTCCAAGTCCAGATCTCTGGGAATTTCAAGTTGGCAGTGAGCTTGGGCTCTTTTCACACTGCTGCATATTTCAGCTGCTTTAATCAGTGTGATTATCTCCTTTCTGTTTAGAACCATCCTCTGACAGCAGGGTACAAACAGTCAGAAGCAGGAAAAAGACTCCAACCTAAATGCCTGGCTGTGCAACAGGGAGGAACATTTTTGTCTTTCCAGCAAGGAAGATCTCACTTCAAACCTCATTAAGTCATGGTTCTCTAGGAAGCTTCTCAGCAGCAGCAAATAAAGGCTGGAGGAGCAGTTGTGGTGACATTATGGAGGACTCGTGAGCAGCAGTACACTTCTGATAAAAATATGAGTCACAATATCCTTTAAAAAAGAAGCTGTGATGGTTAAGCGTCTGTGCTGGAAGTGCTGAGGCTGCTTTGGCTGTAATAACATTCTTGCAAAACATTTTTAATTATAAATAATTGCAAACTGTCAGCAGTTGTATTCCTACTACCTCCAAAAATTAAAAGGTGTTGCCACTTGTGCATCCAACTTTTGATCTGAACCACCTCAAAGACCTGGACTCCTTGCAGAGTTAGTGAGTGGTTGGCTCTCAACTGCAACGTTCTGGATGTCTCTCTGAGGCAGTTTAGCCCTCACCTTTGAGGATCTTGGGAGCTTAGGAACTTAACTTCCTTATCCCAAATAAATGAAGCAGATACAGTGAATATGAGTTCCCCCCTACCCATCAGACCTCCCAAAGAAACAAGGAATGGTTTGAGTGGGAAGGGACCTTAAAGAACAGCTAGTCCCAACGCTACTGCCATGCGCAGGGACACCTTCCACTAGACCACGTTGCTCCAAGTCCCATCCAACCTGGCATGGAACAATTTCAGGGATGGGGCAGCCACAGCTTCTCTGGACAACCTGTGCCAGTGCCTCACCACCCTCACAGGGAACAATTTCTTCCCAATATTTAATCTAACCCTGCCCTCTGGCAGTGGGAAGCCATTCCCCCTGGTCCTAGCACTCCAGGCCCTTGTCCAAAGTCCTTCTCCAGCTCTCTTGGAGCCTCCTAAGACACTGAAAAGGACTTTAAAGTCTCCCTGAAGCCTTCTCTTCTCCAGGCTCCACAGCTGCAGCTCTCCCAGCCTGGCTCCACTGCAGAGGTTCTCCAGCCCTCAAAGCATCTCCATAGCCTCCTCTGGACTTGCTCCAAGAAGCCCATGTCCTCCATGTGATGAGGAACCCAGAGCTGGAGGCAGCACTGCCAGTGAGTGGGGCAGAGGGCCAGAATTCCCCTCACCTGCTGCCCATGCAGTGGGATGAGCCTAGCACACAGCTGGTTTCTGGGTGCCAGTGCACATGGCTGGGGCATGTCCAGCCTTTCATTATCAACATCCTCAAGTCCTTGGTCTTGCTCTCCAGCCATTCTCTGCCCATCCTGTGTCCTTGGGATCACCCCGACCCAGGTGCAACACCTTGACTTTGCCTTGTTGAATTCCATGAGGTTTCCATGGTCCCACCTCTCCAGCCTGTCCAGGTCCCTCTGGACCATCCCTTCCCTCCACTGTGCGGCCACACAGCTTGATGTTGCCAGCAAACCTGCTGAGGGTGCCTCAAGCCCACTGTCCCTGTCATGGACAGAGATGTCAAACACAGGGAGAAGACCAAGGAAAAATGCACTCTGGGCTTTTACTAAGTTCTTATCCTCCAGGTTGCCATGGTATCTCAGCTTACAGCATTAAGTGCAAGTTGCACACTCCAAAGGAGTGTGGCCAGCAAGTCAAAGGTGACTCTCACCAGCTACTCTGCTCTCGTGAGACCCCACCTGGAATACTGAGTGCAGTTCTGCTACCATCAACATAAGGACATGAAACTGTTGGAGCAAGTCCAGAGGAGGCCATGAAGTTGGTAAGACTACTGGAGCATCTCCCCTATGAGGACAGGCTGAAGGAGTTGGGGCTGTTCAGCCTGGAGAAGAGAACGTTGTGTGAAGACCTCACAGCAACACTCCAGGATCTGAAGAGGCTCCAGGGAAGCTGCAGAGGGACTCTTGGTTAGGAACTGTAGTGACAGGACAAGGGGTAACGGATTCAAATTGAAGGAAGGAAATTTAGGCTAGATTATTAGGAGAAAGTTTTTTCCTGTGAGGTTAGTGAGACACTGGCACAGGCTGCCCAGGGAGGCTGTGGCTGCCCCAACCCTGGCAGTGTTCAAAGCCAGGCTGGATAAAGCCTTGAGCAACCTGGTGTGGTGGGAGGTATCCATGCCCAGGGCAGGGGGTTGGGACTAGGTGATCTCTAAGGTCCATTCCAACCCCTAAAATTCTATGATTCTATGAAGTTCGTGCTCTCACATTACTCATTCCAATTCACAAATTTGAAACTTTCAGATTCAGGGAACAATATGGAATGTGACTGAACACAACTCTTAACACACAGCATCATATCCAAACAGGCAACACTTTTAGACACTAAACAAATTGATTTTACAGCCCTGGCAACTGCCTGGGACTATGAAAAATAGAATTTAACAAGTGAGATGCTCTGGACTGCTGCAATACCAATCAGGTAACAGTCAGAGGACAGGCACTAAATATGTTATTCCTAAAAATCTCTACAAGGCATTGCTGTAAGCAATATAAGGACCAAATACAGGAAGGGCAAAGAAGTGAGGGGGAGAGGTGTGAGGGACTTCTCCCAGTTTAGAGCTTTGTGAAAAAGGTCAATGGTCCTTCTCAAGTCCTCATGGCCCAGTGAGTGAAGAAGCATCTGAAGTACATCACTACAAGAAGTAATTCTTCATCAATGAAGGCTTTCAGAGTGTTTTTCCTTTTTTCTCTCCATACTGCCAAAAACTCCCATGCACAGTGAATCCCAGCATCTGAATGGCTCACTATCAGTTAAACAATTCATAATCCTTCATTATTTACACAAATGCACTGATTCGTGTTTACCACATGTTGTTTCAACAAAAAACCTCTAGCCAGTTTTGAAGGGTTCATTTGCACAAAAAAAACCCAAAAACAAAACCCACCAACAAACTTATTTACCAAGAATAAGTGTTGCCCAATCCAGCTTTAAGAATGGCTAGAAAGACTCCTGAGACCTAAAAACACTAAATGCAGATAAACCTCAATTGAAAGCCACAGTAAGCAGGAGGCAAACCCAAGATACTTCCAACACTCACCTTCCTTCAATGAGCCACGTGCACTTTGTCTTGTATTTGTAATTCCCAGGCCCATCTGTGACATACCCTGAAGGTCCAGTGAGCCTGTAAAGAAAAAACATAGACAAGGATTAGTCTCCAGGGGTCTGAAACATTTGGAAAGGATTTCCTACATTCTTAAGATTCATCATTAGATTTTTATTTACTCAGGAGCCACTTGAAACAAACCAACAACAGCACAACAAAAACCCATTGCGATTCTCCCGCTGAACTCTCCTTACATGACTTCTGATGATTGACCTTTGAGAATGACACCTCAAAGGACATGACTTCAAGACTGATGGTATCTCTATCAGACGGATGTCAAATGCACTTGTGTGGATATACCACATAACCAGCAAAAGGAATTCCCCAACAGAAAAGCAAAAATTATTCCTAAACCATTTATTTATACAAACTACACCATTCCTGGATGATGTTCAGACACAGTTCATGGTGTGACCTCTCACCCATTCTGTACTTGACTCTCAACAAACTCCCTGATGACCTCCTGAACAGAGGTCTGATCTCCATACCCCATACCTGGAAGTGTTCCAGGCCAGGTTGGATGGGGCTTGGAGCAACCTGGTCTAGTGGAAGGTGTCCCTGCCCATGGGAGAGTGTGGATAAAGATGTTCTTGAAGGTCCCTTCCAATCCAAACCAGTCTATGATAACCCTCTAGTGCAAAACAGACCTTAATTCCTCGTGCATCAAAGACATATCTCAGGACAAACTCAGAGCACATAAGTTCCAGGCATCCCCCACCTTTGGTAGCATGTTCCCATCCCCAGGTCATCCCACAGCACATTCCCATCCCCAGGTCATCACATGTTATGTGGTCCCACTCCTGGGACACTGCCAGGACTACCCTACACCATCCCTTCCCTCTGCACCTATAACCAACCAGGTGGTGACAACTTGAAAGCAGCAAAAGACTCTGGAGAAGGATGTGTAAAAAGCAAGTACAGTTGGAATCATTCATCCCAGGACACTCAATGTACATGCAATTAAAACCATTAAAAACTTTCAGTGGAAAGAGAAATGGCAAGAAAGGCTGAAAAGGAGTTAGAGGGACTGGTTACAAGCGCATGAAAGGACAGGACAAGGGAGGATGATTTCAAATGGAAAGAGAGTAGGTTTGAAGTGGATGTTAGAAAAACATTCTTCCTTGTGAGGGTGGTGAGGCACTGGCACAGGTTGCCTAGAGAACCCGTGTCTGCCCCATCCCTGGGAGTGTTCCAGGCCAGGTTGGATGGGGCTTGGAGTGACTTGGGCTAGTGGGAGGGGTCCCTGCCCATGGCAGGGGGCGGAACAAGATGATCTTTAAGGTCCCTTCCAACCCAAACCATACCATGATTATTTGATTATTATCAGTATCTGCAATCACTGTACAGCACAAATTCTAGACAAGCAGAAGACAAGGCCAAGAACCAAACTGTTTGGATAAACATTCCCATCTCATATGAATTAGTCAAAATATTCCCAGTGGGTTTTAACCAATTTCTGAAGTATTGCAGAAACAGCTGAAAATCAATGCCAGGGAAGGATGACAGCAAGTGGCAGCAGCATCTGAAAGTGCCCAAACACCATGTTCTGACAGAGCACACATTGGCACCTGAACCAGGTCTCCTACCTAGGCAGGTTCTAAATTCCACTGTCAGCACACATGGCTGGAGCAAATCACAGCCCTCTGGCAAAACCCAACTGTCCTACTTAGAACAGAGCTTCAGTACAACAAAAACACTGTAAATTCAAACTTGGCAAAAAAGAGAAGGAAACAAGATCAGAAGTTCCCCAAACCAGTATCTTGGAACCTTCTGTGTGTCTTTTCCCAGTGACCTGTTAATGTTATCATCTCATCTTTTTTAAATATTTTGACTGAGTCAAAAATGATTTTCCAGACTCTTTTCCACTGAGCACTTCCAATGCTCATCTCTAACCCAAATTAAAAAGGCAAAACCCAGATTATTAAAAACCACCTCCCTCTCTCTCTCCATATGAATTTATTACAACACTTTTCAACTTCAGACGTTGAGTTTAATTGTTTTAAAAGCCAATAATTGAAATTCTCTAGGAGATAAACATTTAAGCAAGTAAAGACAAAACTGACCTTCAGGAGCACAGAAAGCATCTGTACCTTCTATGGAGACACAGATGTAGGTATACAGATAGGTGAGATTTAAAAAAAAAAAAAAAAAAAAAAAACCAAAACACTCACACAGACGATATAGATTTAGGCTGGATATTACGAAGAAATTCTTTCCTGTGAGGGTGGTGAGGCACTGGCACAGGTTGCCCAGAGCAGCTGTGGCTGCCCCATCCCTGGGAGTGTTCCAGGTCAGGCTGGATGGGGCTGGGAGCAGCCGGGTCTAGTGGAAGGCGTCCCTGCCCATGGCAGGGGGTGGAACAAGGTGGTCTTTAAAAGATTCCTTCCAACCCAAAGCATTCTGTGATTCTATGATACACATTTATTTTAAAGCTTCAACATCTGTGAAAACTCAAATCACTTATGTACTGAGCAGGAATTTGCAAAACCAGGTGCCAAGCTGCAAGCAATACCATCTAGACTTTTGTATAAAACTTCATCCTCTTGAAAATAACATCAGTGGAAAAGTCAGGAATCAAACGGCATCAACACTGACAGCACTTTGCCTGCAACCAAGAGCAAACAGATTCTGGAAACCTGAGCAAGTCTCCCAAGCTAAAAACAACCTCATGCAGCATGCCAAGCTCTCAGGGAGCCTCTGCTCACAAAACTCTTTGAACAATTTGATCTGGAAACAATTACTAAATTATTCTCCACAGAAATGCTACTGAGAGTGATGAGAAATGGGTAAAATAATCCTGTTAGTACTGTAGCTCCATGTCACATCTCAGGGGGAAAAAACTAGAGTGTTTCAACATAATCTAATGAAATTTCAGCAATGTCAAAACAAAACATGGCACGTAGTTTTAAAAATATAAGTACAAACTTCTCTGATATGTTATTAAACACGTAAGTGTACGTTACCCAGACTCCTTACCAAATTTGCTGCCACTATGAATAAATAAAGGATATAAAAACCAAAACCAATAAATCAGAGTTGATGTCTCTGAAAGGAAAAGAAACAGTATTTAAGTTCTCACCCCCCCTGTGCTGCCTGGCATGAGCAGGGCAGCAGCATTCATGTTAGTCTATAAACACTCTCCCAGAGACACACAGAATTAAGTCCTCAGCAAACTGAAACTGGAATTTTATCTTTCCATTCAATTCAGAAAGCTCAGCTGCTCTCTCAGCTCCAATAAAATGGCAAATAACACCCTGTTCTCTGGTTCCTTGCTGCCTGTGCTGTACGTGAGGCAGTGCTGGTGGGCACAGATAACTGGGACATGTCCTACACACTGTTTCGGCTTTGTCTGGGAGCAGAGGCTCGGGAAGGGAACACGTGAGTAACCCGAGGAGGAAAAACACTCCAGGAATGAAGGACTTGGATGCAGAACATTTTCCTGACATTCATTAGGCTACTCACATGTACACTTGAAAGATCCTAACCCTGGTAACTTGCCCCCAGTCTCTGAGGTCTTTGGCCCCACTGAATGCTTTGGGCATATTTACAATGTGATGTTCAACAAGGCCAAGTAGTGGGTCCTGCACGAGGCAACATCCCTCTGCAGTGCTCCAGGATGGGAGAAGAGTGGCTGGAAAGCTGTCTGGTGGAAAAGGGGTGCCAGACAAAAGCAGCTGAACATGAGGCAGAGTGTGGGCAAGAAGGCCAACGGCCTGTACCAGTCACAGTGTGGCAGCAGGACCAGGGCAGTGACTGTCCCCTGTGCTGGCTCTGCTGAGGCACCTCCAGTCCTGGGGGCAGTTTGGGGCCCTCATGACAAGAAAGCTACGTCTAGAGTGGAGCATGTCCAGAGCTGGGGAAGGGGCAGGTGGGGCAAGAAGGCCACCGGCCTGTACCAGTCACAGTGTGGCAGCAGGACCAGGGCAGTGACTGTCCCCTGTGCTGGCTCTGCTGAGGCACCTCCAGTCCTGGGGGCAGTTTGGGGCCCTCATGACAAGAAAGCTGGAACATGTCCAGAGAAGGGAATGGAGCTGGGGAAGGGTCTGGAGCACAAGGAGCAGCTGAAGGAGCTGTGGGGGCTCAGCCTGGAGAAGAAGAGGCTCAGTGGGAACCTTCTCACTCTCTACAATCCCCTGACAGGAGGTTGGAGCCAGGTGGCGGTTGGGCTCTGCTCCCAGGGAACAAGTGACAAGAGGAAACAGCCTCAAGTTGTGCCGGGGAGGTTTAGATTGCATATTAGAGACACTCCTTCATGGAAAGGGTTGTCAAGCTCTGGCACAGGCTGCCCAGGGCAGAGGTGGCAGCACCATCCCTGGAGGGATTTAAAAGCCATGTGGATGTGGCACTTGGGGACATGGTTAGTGGGGGCCTTGGCAGTGCTGAGGGAATGACTGAACTTGCTGACCTTAGAGGGCTTTACTAACCTAACAATTCTATGATGCTATGACGATTTTATCACTCAGATGCAAAGCCCATACACCAGACAGTACAGAAAGGCATCAACTCCCACTCCTCTTTGCTAACTTGGTAGTACATGTTGTTACTCCAAAAGAATCTCTTCCATACCACCTGGGTGTTACGTTTACTCTGCAAGGAGCACGTGCTACACCCTAAGAAACCACAAAGGTCTTTACTACAATACTTACAAGGTCCAAAACTGCAATACTGACTTCAAAACCGCCAAAGGAGAAAAACAACTGCAATAACCTGTTTACAAAACTCAGCTTAAAAAAAATTAGCATAGATATACTGATGTGCATTTATACACAGTACTTAGGGCTTGTTGCAAACTTCAATGTTCATAGTGTTGTGTACACTGAATTTTCCACTGATTTTCAAGTGGACCTCAAAGGGAAAGAAGGGAGCTAGGGAGCTCAACCTACAGGGCTCCAACCTTCAATGCTGCCTATTCCAGCTCATTTTTTAGAACAAAAGTGCAGCACTGACAAGAATGAAGACCTGGAAAAGAGAGCTTCAAAGGGAAATATTTTATATAACATAATTCTGTGTATTTTGTTACTCCCCACTGGTTCTGGTAGGCCCTGAAAGCACAACATGAACACAAGAGAATCAAGCAGCACTCAGTGGCATCTCCTAAGTAAAAAGGCAAGTCTGATCTTGGAAATTACCAGATAAATCCATGTGGTTTTAATAATAACATGAGTAATACTGCCAGTGTGTATTTTTCAAATACAAATTAGTACACACTGAGAAAGTTCCTACAGAGACAGGAACAGCACACCAATGCAAAGTCTCAAAGCTGCTGACTAATTACTATCTAATAAATCTAAAGCAATCCTGTTGTTATTAGGTGAGCATAAAAACTCACATGAAGTAGTTTATAATTTAGGATTAAATCATTTTGCAGCACTTCCTTCCAAAGCTTTGCAATATCAAGGGTACATTATATGCTGGCAATGGGGTGTTGAATGTACTTATTTTCAGCAGAAGAGTTATGAAAGAGAAAATGCAGCTTGCCTTTTCTTCACTGCT